CTCAGGACAAGGTGCGTTTCTATAAGTCTTCCTAACATTATGACCAAGTTGCGAAAACAAGGTCAAACAAATTCTATAAAACTCGTGTATCTTCATTATTTTTTTTACTTTATCAATATTCATTTAATATTTAATAATTAATGTGATGGATGAGCCTGCAAATCACTACAAATTTTCTCAAATTGAAGCTATTACAATATTTCGCGGCGCCTCTGTAAAGAGGCCGCGGCGCACAGTTTGCGTATCACTGACATAAACCATTGGAATAGTTTTGCCCCCAAACATAATCCCAGTTAAAATAGTGCCTGCTAAAGCCCATGAACAAAAGAATATTTTCATTAACTATGATTAATAGCAGGCATATTTTCTTTTTAATTTAGGCTAGATATGAAGCATCCATTACCTGATCTTCAAGAATATGCTCGATGAAACCGAAAAGTCGATACATGTTAGCCAACACGTCAGTTTCGCTCAGATTTTTACCCAACTCCAAATTCCTAAGTGGCTGTTCGAGCTGAATGCCACTGCGTCTTGCTGGGTCGGAAATAACAGTCTGAAAATCTGTGTCTATGGTTGGCGACGGCAAGTGGAAGAACTGAGTAGCCATAAGCCGATGGCAAAGAGCGGAAATCAGATGGCCGGCGACAACACAGGCCTGTCCACGCAACTGAGGATCCGCATGATGCACAAGGTGATCCAGCATATCAACTAAAAAGGCCGCAAGAGACGTAAATGAAGATTACGTTTTAGAGATAAAAATCCAAGAAAGAGCAAATAAATAGTGATGGATACCTAAACCATGGTAACTAAAAACAGGAATATGGATAAAATTGCAATGAGAATGGGCTTAAATAGCCAAGGGAAAAGGGATATTATAATTCGCCTGAGCACTTCAAAACATGAGAGTTTAAAAACCCAAGAGAGGTGAGTGAAAGTAGTAAATTTCGCTAAAAAAATCTACATTATAGTTTGCCCAAGTATTACAATTTCGGCATTAGCTATATCTAATCAGTAGGTCTACTGTGATTCATAAGTATTTCATAATGCTCTTCCTGCTTTGGATCTTCTGTTTGTACATCTCGACAAATAGTGCAGTTACCAGTGACAGGGATATAGGATCGACAAATGAACTAAGCAGTTCACAAGATCTAGGCTCTACAAATTATAAATGATAAATAATGGAGGGAAATCATTAAGCCCATGTTCCTCAACAGCTAGCCCTATGTGCGTGTCCAAGGTCAGATAGCCAATAAAACTGCGGCAAGATCCCATGCGATACTTAGTTTACTCAACTAGCAATAGTAAACTAGTACGAACGCAAATGGAATAGTTTCAACTATTCCAAGATCAATATATTAGTATTGGTTTCCTCTTCAAGACACCTGAATCCGTATTCTAGAAGATTAGTTAAAAAATGTAAACTTGAGGAAAGAAAAGTTGAGTTGAAGCAGGAAGTTCATAATAAGTTTTTTGAAATATATTTTTACAGTAGCCAAATTTTGGACAGAACTCAAGATTTCGTATTTAGCGCGTCCGATTCCATTTACTACATGGAATATAGGTCCATAATCTGTTATAAGGTCTTTGCATGCAAACACCCCTTGGAACATAAAAAATACACTTTTTGCATAAAATCATAAAACTTTAAAAATTTTTCGTATACAAACTACCATCTCATATAACTTTAAAAATACCTGCATTTGGCCAGTCAACGCTCTGATTGATTAGACTTGAAACACCAGAGGGTGCCTGGTTATTTGCTACGAGTCCCGGTCTACCATCCCAGCCGTCTAAGCATAAGTCAATCCGCAGCGGTTGCAGAAATGACAGTGGGGTCAGACGAGCCAAATGCGAGAGACACGTGACAGCCTGCATCTGCGTACTCACACGGATATTGGTTAGTCCGGCCATGCTCGAACTGGCCGGAGGAGCAGCTGGCAAAGTCGTAGCCAATCCAGATTTAAGCGAGTTCAGTGAGTGATTACTGCATTCACTAAGAGAAAGGCCGGGTAACAAGGGCTTATCCACTAAAGGAGCAGAAGATGAAGTCAAGGCGGATAGGATATCATCAGCTGAATGACCAAAAAGCTCAGCAGCATTGATGATAGAGGCACTTGCAGTGGCTGGGTGTCGGATGGTGGCCTCGAGGAGATGGCGGCCTAGGGGTAGTCCAAGTCGAGCTGACCAGACAGAAGATGACAGGAGGTCGAAGCGGAGTGCGAAGTATGCGATAATCAAGTCGGCCAAACAGACAGGAGAGTCAGGGGATGACGTAGATAATCCGGAGGAATGGTAACAAGGTTTTGGTTGTGGGGCCCGAGAATAGCTTGTTTGAGGTTCACCAATAGAGCTATATAAGGAAGCAGACTGGTATAGGGCTCTTGAACAGCTGCGGCAATCTCTGGGGCTCTCGTGACGAGCAGAGCAGACTGTAATCACCTCGAGGATTCCCCGCAGACGAACAGAGCCAGTAACATTGGCAACGGAATCGAATAATATGGGAGATTCAGAATTAGCAATGGGTAAGGCATTTTTGCTAAGAAGAATGGAACTGTCCGTTCCTTGTCTGGAATCAAGTGTTTCACAAGGAGGGTTCGGCCGGCTCAGAAAGCTGGACAAGTTAGGAGAGCCTGAAAAGATTATTTTGGCAAATTAATAATGACCAATAAATACTAATAAAAATTGTTCTTTCTTGGAACCCTTGCTTCTCGGAAATAACTTTATATAGTAGAGTTATCTTAGAAGCAAACATGTATTTGTAATTAGAGTCGACCATGAGCTAACTAAATTAAATAATTAAATAGAGGTTGTTTGACCTAGTTTTCGCAATTTGGTCATATTAGTGGGATGACTTAGAGGAACGCACCTAGTGGTACATTCTCAGATGTTTTGCCGGCCTCGTCAGTGGGTTTTGCCATTCTTAGTTCCATACTACAACTTGTCAAAGGGACAAGTGAAGCCGATAATTTGACCAAATGTGTGCTAAACAGTTGTGGTATCTCTCCTTCTGCCCTGGGCTATCCACATTTCCTATATCTTGGTATCACGCCTTCACTGTTACAATTTTTAGCTTGCTTATTTAGATGAAGCGTAGAGTGTCCTTTTGAGTCGCATTCATGAGAACCGTCCACACTCCACGCTGGTGTTCTCACCACCACCCTCTTTATCCTTGTGCTGGGAATGTTGATCAGTCTGCCATATTGTTGTGCAGGCCTCTTTCCCTATGCCTTATCAGAGTCTCTCTCTTGTCCCGTAGAATCCGTCTGCTGTCTCCCTTATTCAAGTATTTCACCTGACCTCTGCGACATCATCTGTGCTACTCGAGGCGTCATTACCTCTCCCCTGCGTCTGGGAGACTAATTCGAGGCCAAAGCCTCTGAGTAAGTTTCATGGTCAAGCCCTTGCTACATGGACAACGTCTCTGTTAAACCTAATCTCAGCCAACTAGCTCCAGTCTCTGCCGCGTCTATCCTGTTTCTATCCCTAATACCAAGTCTATGACTTCCTATGCCCTAGTCTCTTGTGTACCAACCCATAAGCGCAGTGGTTCAATAGTGAACCTAATCAAAGCAGGCAGTACCACAAGGGGATGAATAATGACGCATCGAGTGGCACAGATGGAGTGGCAAGGGTCGAGTGAAATACTTGAACCAGGGAGATAACAGACGGATCCTACGAGGCAAGAGTGAGACTCTGATAAGACCTATGGAAGAAGGACTGCGTAACAATATGGCAGACTGATCAACATTCCCAGCACAACGGTGAAGGGGTATGAGCACGCCAGCGTGGAGTTTAAATGGTTCTCATGAAATCTGCTAAAAATGGCCCACGACACTACATTTAGATAAGCAAGGGAAAAAATTGTGATAGTGAAGGCGTGCTACGAGGATATAGGAGAGGGGATTAGCCCGGGACAAAAAGAGAGATGCGACCACTGTTTTGTAAACATTTGGTCAAAGGATCAGCTCACTTGTCTCTTTGACGAGTTGTAGTATTGTGCTATGACTGGCAAGACTCACTGACGATGCAGGCGAAACGTCTGGGAATGCACCACGCCCACGGACATTATCATGCATACAATGGACTCCGGACTAGGTGTGTTCCTCTAAATCCTCCTACCATTATGACGAAGTTGCGAAAACAAGGTCAAACAACTTATATACAACGAAAGGAGACTGCGACCACACACCATCTTGGTCTTCGTATCTTCGATTAAATAATTTAATATTCAAGAATTAATGATTATTCCGAAACATGCGCATACCGAAAATGAGCAACATAATCTATTTTAATGAGGAAAAGGTATCAGCTTAAACAATAACCTTATTTAAAAAATATGATTAGAGAAAGGCCTGGCTTGCCCCAAATTATATATCTGTACTCAAGCCTACCCGCAGTCGTGACTGAGTGGCAAAGTGCTAAAATGCCGCCATGGTGTACAGGACTCGCTTTCAAATAAGGTTGGGATGCTGATAATACATAGGTGAAATGAGAGCTTAAGTCAAGCATGGATGAGAACATTTTTTGGGAGACAAGGCTGAGTAGAAATGAATATCATAATGGGAAATTTCCAGTAAGATCATTAGATAATCTAAAGCGATACATTACTTATTTTTCGCATATAAATAGAGTTTCGTGACTTAAACGAATTAGGGTGAATACATCTCATATAGCTGATTTACTGGTAGTATCGAAACTCTGTTTATGTACGAAAAATAAGTAATTTAGTCGAATGGTATAGCAAAAATACGTTTGCTTCATCGACAATCCCACCAAAAATTGTTTTATGGGAAAAGGTCTGGCCTTCCTTGAAATTCATAGCTGCTATGTAAACCAAGGGCACTCGTGGCAATCTGGCTGAGTCGTTAACGTGTCAAGTTCCCATGCTGTACTGTCACGGTTCGACTCCCACTGGGGGTATTGATAAGACTTATGCGAGGTCGAAACTGCAGTCCCTCTTTGAAGAGAACAACTTTTGGAAAGGCACGGCTATGTGAAATTCTT